AGGAAATGAGTAATGTAAGCAACACTTACTAAAAGAGAAATCAGAGGGATAAAAAGAAGCTTTATTGAAAACGTAGCACGGAGCGCAATGCGACTGAAGGCCGAAACATCCCTGTGATGGGTGTCCAGCAAGAAACATCCGGTCTTTAATAGGGGATATGATCTCCCCTGACTGCTAGGCAGGTTTCACAGCGTCTGCCCATGCTGAGAATGAGGGTGCCAATGAGTTGTTGAGGCACTGCTGCCCATTCGTCTTGCAGCGCCAATCGAAGCTCCGGAATCGTTACTGGTGGTAAGGTACGAGCTGCCAAGCGTCTGCCTAGAAAATCCCATACATGCTCGATGGGATGAGATCCGGAGATCGTGCCGGCCAATCCATACGTTCAATATCCTCACTCTCTAAGAGCTGTTCGGCAGCTACTGTGCGATGACATGGTGCATTGTCGTCCATGAAAAGGAACTGCGGACCCATAGCGCCTCTAAAAAGACGCACATATATAAGAAGAATCTCGTTACAATAACGGGTCCCGTTGACTGAACCTGCGTCGAAGATGTGAAGGTCTGTACGACTACCAAGCATGGTGCCTCCCCAAACGAGAACACCGCCACCTCCATACCTGTCCCTTTCAATGATGTTCGAGGGATGATTAGGACTTCCCCGCTCTCTCCAGATGAGTATCCGATGAGAATCGCTACTCAGACTGAATCTGCTCTCATCTGTAAAGAGTCGTCCCCATTCATTGTCTCTCCAATTCCGGTGTTCCCAGCACCACAGAGAACGCCTTCTCCGATGGGCAGGCGTTAGAGATACACACCGTACAGGGCGTCGTGCAAACAGACCACCACCGTGCAGTCTTCTGGCCACGGTAAAACGCGATATCGGTCGTCCAGTCGCCTGTGTCGTGTGTCTAGCGATTTCTCCCGCTGTCTGCCGTCTGTTTCTTCTGGCCTGTAAAACAATATACCGGTCATCTGCGGGTGTGGTTCCTCGTGGACGACCACTGCTAAACCCCCGGATAGCTGTTCCTGTAGTTTGAAATTGTCTCCAAAGTCGTGAAACGATGCTGTGAGCAATTCCGAACTCTGGAGCCACACTTGTCAAACTGCGGCCTTCCTCCAACTTCCGAATGATTCGACCTCGGGTAAAAGCATCCAGATGTCGTCTAACAGATTGATTATTCGCCATTTCTCGCTGAGGCAGCAACTCGGTGTGATTTTAACTGCTATACGGCGTGCAATCTCTTTGCCAGAAATACTGATCTTACATCGACAACATGCTTTATACTACTCATACACTCCCCCATTACGTCTACCTGCATATCTACCGTACATCACCTTACTTGATCTCCTGATTGGTCTTTCTGTCCGCTCTGCCTCTTCGTTCAGCTGATATGCTAATTTTTCGACTTCGTCCTTAATTTTTGCACACCAGTCTATATCGGCCATTCTAAAAGAACGTTAAAGTTTCTCGTCAAGGAGCACAAATGTTATATCCGAAAAGGCGAAATTAACAAATCTTCAATAGCTAATCATAGTTGGAAATTTAATCGCAATTTTGACTTTAGATCTGCAAAACAAATTGTCTAAAAAGCTTCTTCCTTCAGTGAACTGGATTTTCCTGAAGCGTTTTACATTTATAAAAATTTACCTTCTTTAGTTAATGACTTTAATTACAATCCAATTCTTCCTAGCTGCTTTCAAATTCTATTAACTTAGTTTTTCAATTTTAATTACTTTGTTTGCCAATAGATGAAGTTACCTTCTCGTTCGCTTTACTACGTTTGGTTATAAAATACAACCGTAGTTTTCTCTTCGTTGCAAATTTCTTTGTTCTTGATAAAGATGAACCTATTTTTGTTTGCCCTTTGAGCTCGATAGAGTTATGACTAAAATGTGGGTCAAATATAAGGTTGCTGCTTTGCCTAGTGTTATGTTTTATTCTGGCATGTTTCTCTTCTCTCTTAACAAATGATGTACAAGACAACAAAGATGTTTTAAATGTGGTAAAAGAGGACACCTTAACAAAGAATGCAATTTTCCGCAAGAAAAATGTGTCAACTGCAAGCATGCTAATAAGCATTATCATTTGAATTTGGATATCAATCATAGTAGTATAAGTAAAAAATGTGCAAGTAAGCAAAGAGAAATGGATCTGTTAATTAAAAAGATTAATTATGGATATAGTTAAAATAACACAGTTAAATTTACTGCACTCACGGAGTGCAAGTGCACAATTAAATGTTGACATTGAAAATATTCCAAATTTAAAAATAGCTTGCATACAAGAACCTTACCTTATTAAAAGTGCGGTAAGTGGATTTCCACAAAAATATAGGATCTATTCTCACTAAATACAAGCAAAAGCTGCAATAATTGTGAAAGAGGGCTCTTTTTCAATCATTCAGATTTTCACAACGGAGGAAATAACAGTAATCAAAGTAGAACGATCGCCCGCTTTTATATTAATCTCGGTCTACTGTCCACCAAGCACAGAAATTGATCTAATATTAATTACATTAGAAGGAATAATAAATGATGCAGGTGATCTTCCAATAGTTATCTGCGGGGACTTTAATTCGAAACATAGTATGTGGGGTCCAGTACCAACAAACCGTCGTGGAACAAGAGTGGGAGACTTTCTAGCAACAACTAATCTCACAGTTATTAATGAACAAAATAGCAACCCGACATTTGTAGGTCCTCTGGGAAATTCATGGATTGACTTAACTCTCCTCAAAGGGCTACAAAGTTTAAAAATAGAAAATTGGGAAGTTGATCCGAGAGACACGTTAAGTGACCATAAAGCAATTAATTTTGAAATTCACATGGATATGAGGCCTTCTCAAAAACTCAAACTGAGAATTGAAAACTCTCAATGGCTTACATTAAGGCAGGAGATAACAGATCTTTCTTGTTCAGAATTTAATTTGAATTCTGATGCAGAAATTAATTCTACAATTAAAGAAATTTCAGAAAAATTAAAGACACTCTTTAAACAACATTTAAGGCATTTACCATCTAATAAAACACACAAAACTACAAAACTTGGTGGAGCCATGCTCTCACACAGGAAAGAAGACAAGTAAAGAAATTGCGCAAAAACTATCAAAATGCAAGGAATCAAGATAGGAAAGATAAACGTCAAATCTACAATAAAGCAGCGGCGGTTTATAAAAGAAATATATATAATGCCAAATTACAGGCTTGGGAGAATTATTGGGAGAATTTAAAACTGAAATCTCCCTTTAATACTTACTACGATATAGTTAAAGGAAAAGGATATAAAGCCCTTAAACTCTGTAAAATTAAAATGAGAGATGGTAGTTGGACAAACACAGTTGAAGATACTCTACGCTATATCATTTGTGTTCACTTCCCTCAGGACAATATTGACGATGATAAGGAAGAATACAGAGAGATAAGAAATCGTTCTATGATAACTCCAGACACAGATGATGATCTCCCAATAACTACCCAAGAAATAAAAAATATCATAAAATTTACAAAAAGAGAAAAAGCGCCGGGGGACGATGAACTTTCCATAGATATCGTAGAAGAAGTCTTTATTCCTAATCCAAATCTAATGACTTGAATTATGAACAGATGTTTGGCAACTGGTTACTTTCCAGAAGAATGGAAAATTGCTAATTTAGTCCTTTTTCAAAAAGAAGGGAAAGATGTTACAAATCCAAATGCCCTACAGACCCATTTGCCTTTTATCGGCTTGGGGAAGATTTTAGATAAGCTTATTGCACGACGACTAATAACTCATTTTTTGATTGCAAAGAAAATACTCAATAGCCAACAATATGGTTTCACAACGGGTCGTAGTACAATTGATGCAGTAAATAACCTAGTTAATGAAATTCATAACATAGAATAAACAATCTTCATACTTGTGTTATTTCTTTAGACGTTGCATCAGCGTTCAATAACCTTTGGTGGCCTGGATTGCTATCAAGGTTAAATGAAGTCAAATGTCCAAGAAATCGTTTTCGCATAATTCGAAAGTTATTTGAGCAACTGGAAAATACAATATAAAAGAGATGGAGTCAATATCTCCCATTCTTATCAGAAAGGGGCCATCTCAGGGCTTCCAACCTAAGGCCCACTTTATGTAGAATATCTTGGCTGATACAGCTTTAAATTTAGAATTTGACACAGTCGTAAAAATTCAAGACGTATGCTGATGATTTCTTAGTTATCATTTCTGGTAGTAAAAGACTGCGAATTGAAGAAAAAAAAGCTCATAGAGCTTTAGAAAAACTTAAGCACTGGATACAACAAATATCAACTTAAATTTTAGTATTGATAAAACCAAATTAATTTTGTTTCCTAAAGACACTTAAATTACATAGATCACCTCCACGTATTAAGTGGGAGCAACATTACCAATCTCAAGAAGTTTTACATTAAAATATTTGGGTTTTATTATTGATCAGAACACTCACATGGATTCCACACTTAGTACATTTAAAGGAGAAAACACAAAATTTAAATTAATAATAAACTAAATCGGGATCATTTCTCAAAACTAGGAGCAAAGAAAGGAAAATTACTTAAAATACTTTATCTCAAGAGCTATCGAGGCGATTAATACTTTATGGGTGTCCCATGTGGTTCACGGGAACCGTACGTCAAAAAGCAAAAACTTTCACAAATACAAAGGTCAAGTTCTTTTATGTATTACCCAAGTGTTATTCCACATCTCCCACATCAGCTCTTGCAAGTTCGTCTCGGGCCTTATGCCTTTAGAGATAAAAGCTGAGATGGAGAGAAAATTCTTTAGAAGTTCTTAGAATTATTCATTATAAGGAAAACTTGGAAATAGGCAATCTTGTTATATGGTACAATACCTTACAAGAAAGAGTCCCGCACTTTCTCACGCACCCTGCTCATCAAGACATACTTCCCTGGCATAAAAATACTCCAACACAGAAAAATATCGAAATCTTTACAGATGGATCTAAGATTGGTAAACATATAGGTGCGGCTTTCGTTATGTACAACAATGGGCACGAAGTTCATTCAGAAATTTATAGGTTAAATGATACGGCTTCCGTGTTCCAAGCAGAGGTTCTTGCTTTAAAAAAAGCACTCATCTGGATAGGTTCCACAATAACTGACAACATTCCTATTGGTATTTTTACAGATAGTCGTAGTTCCCTTCAAAGTTTAAATAGTGATAAAATTACGAAAAGAAGCATTTTTAGCTTAAAGGAAATCATAAAAACTCTTTTAGATTCCCATTCTCTAGAGCTTAATTGGATTAAAGCTCACACTGGAATCGCAGGGAACGAAAGAGCAGATTCCGAAGCAAAAAGAGCAACACAACAAGATCAGATAGATGTTGAAGTGCCACTTTCAGAGATTTCGGCCAAACATCAAATCTTGCAAGAATCGCTTAAAACATGGCAGCAAATATGGGATGAGGACTCTACAGGCCGTTCGACTTATGCCTTTTTTCCACAAATTTCTCTCTCTCGTATACATTCAGATCACATTTTAAATCAAGTCTTGACAAATCATGGTAAATTTCCGCAATATATGCAAAGATTTTCATAAAAAGAACACAAGATGTGGCTGCGGGACATGTGGAGAGCTTGCAGAGCTCTCCATTACATCACGTCTTGTCCAATAACAGCAAAAGAAAGAACAACTCTTTTTTCCATCGCCATTGCTTCACTGGAAATTTTGGCAAAATGCAATTCTACTCTTAATGCCATGAAGTCATTATTATGCAACATATACATGCAAATGACTCAGACTTTATTGTTTTCGTTAATCCTACAATGTTTTTATGTCATTCTGATTGTTATTTTTTCTTCCCTTCACTTCAATGTAATGCTCATTTATTTAGTCACTGTAGTGTTTACTGTAGTGCATTGTTTACTATAGTGGTGTAGTGTATACACCTGCAGGAAATTGTATATCTGTTTATAAGTTTCTTTGAATTTTTCTCTTATTTTGTTATTATTGTTATTTATTATTTATTTTTTTTTATTATTATTTATTTGTTTATGATTATGCTTATTATTTTATCTGTTATGATTATTATTTTGTTTGCATATATGTTTATTTTAAATTTTACTCTGTAATTAATTGTTCATTTATGTAAAAAGTTTTTTTTCTTTTTTCTTTTTTTTTTCCCTAAATTACGCTAGCATTGTAACTTTACTGGCTGTCCTTCATTTCCTGTTTTAGCCGTCATGACTTCCCCCCCTTTTTTGTTTTAAGTTTACAAAGCTTTCTCTAAGTTTAGCCTTTCCTCTCAGCCCCTTTTAGTGGATAGGCTTTTGCTTCATTTCGCTTTTCGCCTTTTCCCCTTCTTTTTAGCCGTATAGCTCTCCCCTTCTTAGACTAGTTTTTGGCTTTTTGTTTCTTTCCTTTTAGCCGAAGGCACCCCTGCTCTATTAGCCGCTTAGCCTTTTTTTTTTTTTTTTTTTTTTTTTTTTTTTTTTTTAAGCTCTTTTGCTTAGTTAACGTGCTCTGCTAAGTGTTAGCCTATTGGCTTTTGCCCACTTTGGTAGTTAGCACCTGTCTCCTCCTGCCTAATCCGGAGTGAGATAACGGAGTGGTTAGAAACGTGGATTCCAATCGTTACACTTTAACAATCGTTTTGTAACAATTAGAATAGTTACAAAACACCGCAGTTGCTTTCAGTAGCAGGAGCGGTTATAAGAGTTTGTTGTTGTTCTCTCTTAACACAAAATACTTAAATTTGAAAGAAAGGAAGTAAATTACCTCTTCAAAGCTTGGGATTCAGTACTATCTCTTGGGCTTAGCACTAGCTTTTAACCGATTTAACAAATGATATGCTATTTCTCTCCACACCATACCTACCTAAACCCTTATTTCAAAGACTGGCTGAATACCTTGTAAGCAGGATCTTATGTTGTATCTAAATATTAGATACACTTGTGTAGTATTCATGAGGTTTGTCGAAGTAGGAAACATGAAAAATGTACGGTGCCCTCACCATAGTTCGAACTCCAGCCCCCGTCCGCATCTGCTAACCGGACGGGCTTCCAGTTACACCACAAAAGAACGTGGTAAGGAAAATGAAAATTCCTTATATTCTCCCCCCACTTAAAGTGCCACTTAGAAAGAAGGGACCTAATCGCCAAATCCCCATATTGACGAATTATCGTCACCAAATTTTAGTTCGGACGTCACTATAGACGCAATAAATTCTTGGAAACTCAGAAAAATGAAAAATCGAAAATGACCTCGTCTGACTGCTGGCCAGACTTCCTTTTAATTACACTTTAGAGACATTAGATATTTTGATGCTGGAGACGTGAAAAATGAGCAATGCCTTCGTCGGGATTCGAATCACGGACCTCTCGAATACGCGCCAAGTATGCTGGCCCTTACACTACGAAGGCATGCTAAGAAGGCGGGAGAAATACCTTATAACACCTGAAAGGCAAACGGTGAGGAGGGTAAAAATATCTTACACACTCGCTATTAAAATTACATCATTTGCATTCTATTAAAAACCGGTGGAAAAATATAAAGGACTGAACAGAATTATTGTAAAAACAACTGGTTTATTAAATAAGCATTACGTAATGCCTATTCCTTTAATACATTAAATACTTAAATCAACAATTCCATGCTATATTCAGAAATCTGATTTTAACCTCGAAGAATAAGTGAATTTGTGTACAAGCATTAGCAAATAAAACCGATTTGCCAGAAATTCTTGTTCCATTTTTACATCATTCTTAAAACTTCATCCCAAATGCGCCTACTTTAGGAGATTTATCAGACCCTTACTATTATTATTAAAAATTCAAGCAAAAGTCGCATATCCATCTGTTTGCATGCAGTTAGGGTTTTCGCAGTCACTTTACTTTCTTTGAAAATGATGGCTCGATATAAAAAAAAACGTTTCCATCTTACTTGGAGAATACTGAGTTCGCTTTTTATGAATATTTGACGCAAATAAGTTTTTTCTATTATGTATATTCAATAAGATATTATTCGAAAGCGAAAACAGATAGGATTCGAAATAGAAAATAGAGTCAAAATCTTAACATGCTGCAAGCTGGAAGTCACTTGAAATTCAAGTCATTCCTTGCCAGAAGATTGGAAACTAAAACAAAGGAAGCATCATAATAAATTTTTTGACGGGTGGTCAGCATCTGACCAAACTGACAAAAACACTGATTCTTTTTCATCTTTTGTGACTGTTTTGAGCAGAAATGGTAAAAGAATATTCAGACTTCGGTTAGTCTGCAAAGAAAATAGAATTCCTGGCAACATTTCCTGATATTCTTGGCGTACATCAGTTAAAGACAGTCTGTTAAAAAGTCTGACCATTCGTAACTGTAGTTGAAAATTTGTAAAAATATTAAACTTTAGCTATGTTCTGAAGCATTAATAACTGGCTAGAACAGCACATTATTTTGCTCAACTTCTCATGCTGAAAGACTTTAAATAAAAATATTATTTAGGCCTTAGTTTTAAGCATAAGTATTTGGGACAGAATATAGGTAACTTAATTTGTATTTTGCTAAGTAAATACAACTAACTTTCATTCTTTCACCCTCATTGTTAGATTTCATTATTTTAAAAAGCATGAAAATATAATCCATTTACAGCTTTTTCATTCATGTAGAATTGCATATAAAATTAATTTTCCTCTTGGACCTCTTGCTCCGTAGAGCAATTCCTCAAAGGGGAACAACAACGACATGAAAAAAAACTTCTTTTATAAATAAAGCTCTTACTTTTAACTAAACTTCTACCCTAATAATATAGCAAGTTCTATCTTTCTAGAAAGTGGCTCACCAGGGGCAGAGCGGGAAAGTCGCTGAACACTGGTAGCTCGATTCGAGGTTCAAATCCCGCGAACGGCCTGGCTGCGTGGGCATTTTCGTGGTTTTCCTCGTGTGTAACGTGTATACAAGCTAGTTTGCCTTAGAAAGTCCTCCACGAAGACCTGCCTTCCCTTACGCAGATAACTCTCGAGTCTTTGAAACTTCATTTTTGAAGTTATGAAGTTTTTTGAAGTATTCCAGGTACTAAATATAAAAGACTAATACTTTTAAGTTTAATCTGAAAAACATTCAATAGAACCGAATTATAAAAAGTTCCGAATTCAGTTGCTGATCCAAGCAAATTATCTACATTTTAATACTCCTCGTAAAGTCGATTAATGTGGTACACAATCTGAAACAAAGTAATGCAAATTAGACGAGTTAGGACACGCAGTTCGCTGTGAGTATATAGAAAAGTTATTATCAAATTTTCATTGTTCAATGCATTTAGTTTTCTGCATGAAGTTTTACTCCAAACGCTAAAGGTTACTATTATTTTACATTAAATACTTACCTTATGATATAGATCTTTATTGACTTTCTCCTTTCCGTTTGCTTACCAGAATGTAAATTCAGGTTAAGGCTATTTAAGCTGAGGTTTTGTAAGACAAACAGTGTTTTTGCCTCTCGAGGTTACGTTACTAGGTTTCACTAGTTCTGACATGACTATAATTCTTCGGAATTCAGTTATAACAGCCACGCCAGTGAGAAAATTTGAGCCAGTTTCGCGTTAAATCAATGTGTGTAGTCTTTAACTACCAGACATAATTTCTAAATTTAACTGTTACTTGAAGCTACCTTGCCACAAGTGGTGGTGAGCTTTTTAAGCACGATTCGTGCATTGGTATTCACGTTCTGATTTAATAAAACAGTTTGTTAAAACTTCTTAAGATTTTACACTTATTTTCAGACACAGCGTTCTCTCTCTAAGTCTGATAGAAGTTTGAACCTTAGCTAATGCTGCCAAAATACACGAAATTCTGTATGCTAAGTAATAAAACATTCAAGAAATGTATCCAGAATTGAATTCAGCGAAGAACTGGAATGAAATAAAACCCAGAAAAACAATAAAGAACGCAACTTTATAGTAAATGGAGGCTTGCAAATTTTTGGTCTTAAGATGGCAATGCTTTAACGTACTTTAATGTTAGTTAACCAGTTATTATGATTTTTAATGTTTACTATGCCTTCTTCCTTTCGTATTCCTCACCGGAATGTAAATTAGCTTTTAGTATAAAAAAGGTGAAAGTTCTGAATGATGGTGACAGAAGTTTCTGGCACTCGTGCCGCACTGTTAGAATTTCGCCAGTTCTATCTGAAAAGTGATTATCTTGGCATTTGCATTCTCATTTCGATCCCGGAATGTTGTCCCCGCGGGGGGTGGCTCGACGTAGCGAAGCTACTGGCTAGGATCTGTATACCTAGGCAGTCTCGGCCACGGGGGTAGAAAATTTATGAACTTGGTGGTTTTGAAGGTCACGGAAAGGTCACCTATTGGCCAACCCGGTGGTTTAACAAGTCCTAGAGCGGTGTGGCTCTAGTAGCCCGGGAGGTAGCAACCCTTGGATTCCCTGGGTAATGTCCCACTGCAACGGGCAGCCTGAGCGACTGGCAGGTCGCAAATCGATGACCAGTGTCGTCTGGCCTTGTCCCAGGTGGTGCGTCTCTCTCTCCAAGGTACGAGCAATGAATTTCTAAGGACGGTGGATGGATTGCCCCTTTAAAATAAGCTTCAGGGAGATACATTATGTGTCTCTTCGATCTGACGGAGCATATTTGCCTTGGGGAACCTTTACTTCTCTTTAGAGGTTCTTTGGTACGAGGGCGGAGGTTGAACCTCTGCGCCTGGTTCTGAGGGTGAGGGAAACTGTGATGCGGTTAAGTCTGCGAGGCAGGGAAGCTCTAAATTGCTATTGATTGTTGACTACGTTATCAAAGTAATGAATGTTGACTACGTTATCAATTTTTTTTCTGTTTTTGTTTAATTTATATTGCTACGAGAAGTGGATTTTTGCCCATAGCTCAAGTGGTGCCTGTTACGTTAAAATTTCATATTAAATATAAAGATTATTAAACATTTGCAAGTCCTTTATTACAATATTCCTGAGACAGCGATACCTCACTAGCCTGTCTGGTATAGTTAAATGACTTCAATTCACCTTCCAGCGCAATTGCAAGATTACAAGAATTAATATTAACAATTGGATATTTACGAATGCATAACAAAATCTACTTCAGACTGATACATAAACATTATTTTGAATATTAAAAAAATCATTTTCACTACATATAAAACAATCTTAGAAACTAAAAACTGAACGTCGTTCAGAGAATTAAGAAATCGCTTTGAATATTCAGTTTCAGACATTGAATGTAATATCTGTATTACTTAATGAGCAATTTACTTGAATTTGATTGAGAAAAAGGAATATCGCCAATTAGTCATTAAGTTCGCCAAGATGGCAACTTCAAAACGCGCTTTTCCCCGGTCTGCTTCAGATTGCAACGCATTTAAAAGAAAATGTAAAAAATTGCCCAGTTAATATTTCTTTATCATTTTTATTTTTAAGGTGGGCTAAAAGTTTGTTTCATAATATATGAAAATACCAAAACTTTATATCAGACTATTTAGTAACTAAAATTTTAAAATCTTAAGCGTTAAATAGTCTAAAATATCAAAAGCAAGTTTCAAAAATTCAGAAAACAGGTTAAAACTTTCACACAAGTTTCATTGAAAACATTTTTTCCACTTTTGCAAACAGTACTTTTTCTGATGTTTTATGTAAATGAGGCAGAAACAAGTATTTAAATTAAAGTCTAGATCACTTCGCTAGAAGAGCTTAGAAGCGTGTGTCGGCCTTCCAACTACGTTGTTGTTAAAGGCCTAAACTTCTATGATTCAGTCATATTGTTAGGTTCCTGCCAGTATTTGCCTGTAATCTTCAATAAGGGCCAACTCTGTCAGTTATTTATGTGCAGCTTCAGCTAGTTTTAATTTAGTTAGTATTAGATTAGTTTCTTATTTTATACCCTAAATTAAAGCTCAAGTGGAGGTTTCTTGTAAGCCCGAGAAGGGACCATCTGTGCAATTATTATGAGTTGGAATAAAAAGTGAATTTAACCCTTCTTTGCACTCGCCATTTGGGTACGAGAACGCTGCTGTAAGTCGCTACATATACTTAAGTATACTTAGAATACTTAAGTATTCTAGCTTACAAAGACTACTAATTTAGCAAGGATATTACAAATAAGTAATATTTAACAAAGTAGCGAAAGATCGTATACAACAAATAAACAGAACCATAAGAACAGATACATGAACAACGAAATAAATAACATCAAAGGAACTTAATATATTAATTTAGTTAAATTAAAACTCATTTAATAAACTCCACGTAATAAATTACAAATATGCTATAATAATGTGCTTGCAAAAGAAAACAAAGAACATATTTTTTCCTCTGTTTGCAGTAAATAGCACAAAACAAAGGAAAATTTGAGACTATAGAAGAATGGTTTTAAAGACACATGTTCAATTTCTTGCATAATTAAGTTTCATTTATTTGTTAATTTCCTAAAATGGTAACTCTCGTTTAATTCTGAAAGAGCACTTGACATTTCCTAGTACTTGACATTAACCATTTTGTTTTTCTGTCCCATGTTTTTTTAATTTATCCCAGTTTTTTGCTTTAGAAATATGTGAATTTAAGGTTTAATATAATCGCATTTAAGAAGACTCCAAAATAGGATTTATTCGACTAGAAGAAGAATAGCTTAGATCTTATTGTATCTTGGAGAACTCTTCAAGTCTTCACCTATCGATAGTTAGTTGAATGGTGAGTAGTAGTCTTATTATGACTTGTAATTCTTCTATACGTATAATCTTCCTTTATAAGCAGAGCTGTTTGAAATTATTTACTTTAGTTCAGAAAACACTACACCAGTCAGGTAGGTTGTTTGCTTCCGGGGTTTAGTTTATTAATATTATATTTGTACTTTTATTTTTTAATTTATGATTGCCTTTTATTACTGAGTTAAATCTAGCTACTTATTCTCTTTATGTTTTCAGTCTGCAAGTATTTTTTTGTGTTTCTGTATTTATTTTCAATTATATAATTCGCATAAAAAATTTGAGAAATGACACCCATTTGAATAGCTAGTCAAACAGATTTCCAAAATGGCATTACCTTGATGATTTACCCCATAATGATGTAATACCACCCTATTATAAATAGCTATAATCTGTTACTTTAAAATAAGCATTTTAAAACCCTCTCATGGGCCGTGGGAAGATTACTTCCCACCTACATGATCCTGGGAAATACACATGTGGGAAGCGCAAAACCCACTATAATATATTGGCTTTGGTATTATAACGTTGGGAACTCTAATTCCCACTTCAGTATTGTGCTGCCATCTGTGTTCAATCGATTGAAAACTGAATTACCACATTTGTTTTGAAAGTTCGAACGCGTTGTGTGAGATCTGTTCCACTGAGACACCTGTTTTGATTTGACATTTGCATTGCTATACGATTCTGCTAGAAATGTAAGCAAAACACTATTTTTATTATAATAACGTTCTCTTATTTTGCATATTTCTGCAAGAACTATCTAATATTGAATAATAAATAATGGGTGAAAAGTGAAAACGCTATTGCATCGTGTATAAAAGCCACGTGCAATAGGTATGTTGGAAAAATTAGAATATTTTTGAAAATACATTTTAAAATAACATTCAATTCTACTGAGAAAGAAAAGGATTATTTTGGCATGATTTTTACGGAGGAAATTTTACAGAATATTGTTGACGAAACTCATATGCAAAGCAGTCTGAGAAAAGGAAGAGATTGGGTAATACCACAAAAGACATTATCCTGAACTGGAAAGAAATCACATCAGAAGAATTGAAAGCATGGGTAGGTATGCATATACTCATGGGTATACATCAATTGCCTGAACTGAAAAACTACTGGAGCACAGACCCTATTCTCAGTGTTCAATCAGTAGCAAGAATAATAATTGCAAAGCGGTTCAAAAAAGTAACTGATATTTTACATGTAAACGATAACAGCACAAATCCATGTGGGCAACTTGGGCATGATAAACTAGATAAAATCAGAGCAATCCTCTCACAGCTCAATGATTCCATACCTAAAGTCTACGAACCTTCGTCAGCATTAGGAATAGATGAATGTATGATAGCTTTCAAAGGGAGAACTTCATTGAAGCAATATATGCCAATGAAGCCTATAAAAAGAGGTTACAAGATGTGGTGTTTAGCAGACTCTAAGAGTGGATATATTCAAAAATTTGAAATTTATTGTGGAAAAGAAACTTCTGATAATAAGGGTAAAATATTGAGCTTAGGGGAAACAAACTAAACTAATGGAAGATGTGAAACAGGCAGGACATCTCTTATAGCCTATGATAACTATTTGACATCTTTTAGGCTTGCAAAAAGTCTACTTATAAGTGGTCTGTTTTCTGTGAGGACTGTGAGGCCGCAAAGGAAAGATCTTCCACCAATGCTGAAGGCTAATAACAAACTACAAAGAGGGAAATCAATGTTCCTAACTAAGGAAGGTGTTGTTGCAATAAAGTGGATGGACAAAAAGGCTGTTACATTGTTGACTACTGCGCACAATTCAGGGATTATTACATCTGTAAATCGTACATAAAAGGATGGTACTATAACAGAAGTACCTTGCCCTAACAGCTGTTGCCGTATAGCTGTTGCCCTAAAGCTGTTGCCATATATAACGATATCATGGGAGGGGTTGATTGCTTCGATCAAAGAAAAGAAAGATACCAAATAGGAAGAAGATCTGTAGAATGGTGGCATCGTATTTTTGATTTTCTTATTGATCTTGGCATCGTAAATAGTTTTATACTGTGGCAAGTAAACAAGAGAAACAAAAGTTTAGACCGCTTAAATATTCCGTATAGCATTAGCTCGTCAACTAATAGACGGACATTCCTCGAAAAAGGAAAGGCCGTCCTGCTAGCTTCCAAGCAAAAAGGTGTGCAGTTCCGGATGATATACGCTTATCCAATGTGGGAAATCATATGCCAAAGATGGTTTCCAACTATAGACGATGTAGGAAATGCAGCACAAAGGCCCAAGAAAAGAGGACCCACTATATGTGTGCAGTATGGGATGTACCCTTGTGCATTGCAATATGTTTCTCATTTTTCACAGCAAATAATCGCCTTTAAATTGAATTTTCTCTATGACCATAAAAGGTCTCGTGGAAAGTATACTTCCCACCCCTAGAATTTAAATGTAAAAAAAAAATTTGGCAAAATAAAATATATTTCCTTAAATGCTATTGTTTAGTTGATAATAAAACATAAAAAAACGGGAGAAATTCAAAAGAGAAATAAATGGCCCACGAAAGGGTTAATGTCGTAGCGACCCTCTCCTCGTTTACGATCGCAACATGTGTCATTATTATGTCACAGAGGGAATTAGGTGATTTTAACAAATTAAAGAATTCAAGATTTTTTTTCCGCAACAGTCATTGCCATGATTATTAGTCATGGTTTGTGGGGAAAGAGATTGCCTTGAAATGTCTATTCTAAAGTAACAATCTACAGTAGAAGCTGACTGCTAATCCGAAACAAAGGCTGTGGCTCGACTGTTGCATAAGGCTTGGAAGTATTGTAGAGACATTAGGATATTTTTTGGAGGCCGGAGATATTAAAACTTAACAATGCCTTCTCCGGGAATCGAACCACGGACCTCTGGAATACCGGCTCAGCGTGTTGAACCACTACACCACGAAGGACGCTTGGAAAGTGGGATAAATACCTTATATACTCCCCTTTTTAAAGGGCGACTAGGGTTTTAGGGAACCTAGTCGCCAAATCCTGGGTGTGGAGAATCATCATCCACAACCCTTTTAGTTTGGGCGCCACTTGTAGAGACATTAGGATTTTTAGAAGCCAGAGAGATGAAAAATATGCAACCGCCTTCGCCGGGAATCGAACCACGGACCTCTGGAATACCGGCCCAGCGTGCTACCGTTACACCACGAAGGCACGCTAGGGAATTGGGAGAAATACCTTATAGTATATGCAGGTTGTTTTTTTCCTTTCCACTAGTGTGATATCTGTTTCCTTTTGTGGTGTACCCTCGACAAATCTTTCAATGAGGAGAGGGCTAAATGTTCGAGTAATTTGACTTTTCAGGCATTTATGCTTAATTTCCAAAGGTTCGATCATTAGAGATGAAAAATAATACTAATAGTGTAACGACGTTTGCATGCATACAATAATTAGTAAGTCAAATTTATAATTTATATGCTTTAAAAACATATAAACTTAAGAGTAGAAAGATCATCTAAACGTTAATAAAAGTATTACATCCAATAGTGATTCATTGTTGTGAAGATAATATAATAAAAATAATGACACATAACAATAAGCATTCACTGATAATCATGTGCAAGATAAATGAATTGGAATTTAAGTATCCTAGAGAATACTTATCAAACAATCCGCTATCATTTCATTCAGGACAATAATAAACCATACTATTATCTTTCCTATATGTTTACGTACACGCACTTTCATTCGTTCTTGCAATGGCTACTGAAAAATGATCGACTTCACACTTCGCAGCCCACAGACCACCTCAGTACCATCACGAGCCCACTGGCGGCACGCTCAAAGCCGCCATTAGACCCTCCTCGCGTGCTAGAAAGAGGTTAGACTTTGGACAGGCAAATGGTGACAAACGACAGCTCCCTCGTCCCAGGCAGGGACTACAAATGTTTCCCGAGATCCAATTCAAACTCAGAGAATGTGCTACTCCAGACCAGTTGAGTCATGACGCAGGCTAAGCACGTAACCCAGATGATATCCCATCATCCCTCTTTACACTGAACAGAATTTTATTCAGGAAATTCTTTTTCATGCTTGGTATCTTTACCTGCCCCTCCCACCCTTTCTTTAGCGGTGCCATTTTTTATAGTCACTATCTTTTTCTCTTCGCGGATTGGTCGTGGATCGAAAAATAAAACATTAAATATGGTCGCAGATGGTTATCGATAGAGGAAAAAATAAGCGATTTCTCTTCCATCTCTTAATCTGTTGATAGTTGTGCATGAAAAGCAGATTTAGGCTGTAAAAACAAGGACAGGATCATATTACAAGATTCTGTAAAATTTAACTTTCGTTGGATATTTAAATATGTAACTGATAAATCGTTTTACTATTTTAATTTATTTTGCATGATTTAGAGAAATAAGAATTTTTCTGATTGCTCTGAACAAAATAGAAAGAGGAGCAACACAAATGTAAAGAACAATCATATGCGGACTGATTTCGTTAAAAACAAAATATGATTTCTGCGTAAAGTCCTGTCTACATGAGAAAATATATCTCCGAATAAGTAAGTACTTATTCGGAAATATATCGATATATATATCGATATATATTCGGAGATATATCGATCGTACTTATTCGGAGATATTCATCATCTAGTCTGCACCAGTCAGACTAGATGATGAAACATATCACCGGCGTGTCAGAAATACGTCTGCAGCGCCTGCGTGCTCATTGACTATATTACGAAGCAATGTTAATGGATATTTATTTGGCAACAACCAATGAAATTTCGTATGAAAAATCACTTGTTCGAAGAATGATGGGGACTATTTAATCTTGCTCACTGAATAACATATGCAGCGAAGGGCTTGGAGATTTTGTTTTTATTTTAACAAATTAAATTTTGTATGCCAAATTTCTTTCCGGTCCTAATTTCCTGTGGATTTCTTTTATAAAAGATAAAATGATATTTTTCCATCTTGATACAAGCGATTTTTTATTTGTAGGCTATACAGCGATGTTAGTCTTTACCCTCATTTGTTTGCGTTAACTGAAGTTGCTAGACTATGTTTTTCTGTTTAAGGAGATTACTGTACTTTTACATTTTGAGAAACTTACCAAATAAGAAAAGCTTAATTTACCATCTATTTGAATTTGATCACATTTCTGTTCTTTCTTCTGTTCTTTCTTTTTATTTGCGCTTTCTTTTCTTTATGTTGCACTTCGCAGCTTTAGGTCTGCATTTGCCACAAAGTGACTGTGAGTTCAATCAAACTGTGAGTTCGAATCTAAATGTGTTGTTTTCTGATTTTTACACTGAAAATACGCCTGTTATCACTACTATAACAGAATTCTATTAATAAAAAGTTATTAAAATTTTTATATATAACGTATGATAATTTTATATTATTTTATTGTTATACACAAAAATAGGATTTGTATACTAATTAACTAATTATTTACGTGAATATTTTATATTAGTTTTTATTAATATAATTATTAGATTTTTACATTATTTATAAATTAATAAAATTTATTTTTCCTTTTCGTGTATTTAAAGTATAGGCTTTATAAAAAATCTAATTATCAGCAATGTATGATATAATATTTCATGCCATATATAAAGTAATCGATTTATTTTTCTTCTTTTATGAAAATAAATGATTATATATATGTAATAGGTTTGGTATATATGACTATAATGGATTGGAGATGGTTTATCGTGTAAATGTAGGTTGGCAAGGCTTTATTGAGTTGCAGACAGACGTGGCCGCATTCAACATAATTTTAATATTGGATAAAGCAATTCCGTAAACATAATATTTAGATCATACATCATTTTGTGTGCAATATGCATCCACATTTTCTGATAGCTTAGCACATCTTCAGACAATGGACGATACATAGAAGCGAGAAGCCAAGTGTGGTAGCCAAACGGAAGCAAAAGCTAAAAAAAATTCTACGGATTCAGATGAAGAGCGAGAAAAAATTTCAAAAGTTTTGGTTCTTGGTTGAAATCTTCAACCTAATTAGAGAAACGATATTTGCTTTGCTATGTTATGTAAGCTAGTATGACGGGGATTGATTTTGAAATATTGTAGTTTAGATTCATAAAATATTACCAATTACCATATTTAGGGCCAAATCATCCAAATTTAAATAAAGACGGAAGACTATTATAACCTTAATTTTACAAAATTAAGGTTATAATAGGTTTCTTTCATATTTTATATCTTACATATACATACACATGTATATTCGTATATGCATATATAATGAGATATTTCAAATTTTCAAACTAAGTAGATATATATTACTAAAGTCGCGCAGTATGCTGCGAATTTAATTAACCAATCAAGAGATAAAAATTAAATTATAAAAGTTAAATAACAAAAGATGTGCTGTTATCCAAAAGGAAATACACAAAACAAAATATATATATATATATATAAAACATCCCAAAAATCTTTAAAAATTATAAAATATAAATTATATAAAACTGAAAAATGTAAAATGTAGATTTAAAGTCTTTGATTTAAAGCCAAACGTG